AGGTTTCTGGACATCTGCCAGCGATGCACTTCCACCAGGCCGTGTGTGCTGACACACAGGATCCTGCAGGGCCCCAACTTTTGCCCCAGCCCCCAAAACCGACACAATCCAGAACCCAGTGACAAATCTTGTCACAGACATTCCTCGGGAGAAATGAAGACTATCCTGCTTCGAGGCAAAATAAAGACGCTTGACTGTCATTGAGATGTCAGGTTTCCTGTTGACCACGGTTCACGAGGGGTTTCCTGCCAGCCCCGATACCTCGAGCTGCTTCTGCTATCTTGGAGCGCAAAAACACAGCAAAGTACAACAACAAAGCAACACAAAGTAACACGTTTGGACTATCTTTGTATGTCTGCTAAGTTTATTCCGGATAGTTGACAGAAATTTCAGCCTTTTCACCACACGTGGCTACAGTACGAAAAGCTCGGGCTAACTAATGATTGATGTTGTAGCTCATGCTTGACAATTGCGATTTTTTACGGGCTATGACATAAGCGTGCAATTGAGGTGCATTTTTCCCCCCAAATAAAATCATCTGTAAAGTTAATATTTTTATTTTATTTATGATATTTATTTTTTAATGAGCCAGCTGATAAATCGGTTATCAGAAATGTATTCAGCCAAACATCGAAATGGACCGAAAACAAATTCCATGTTGATCGTGCCTCATATTTCATGTATGCGATTACAAAATTTGGGGGGGCAGGGGGGTGGGGGGGTTACAGACTTATCCCAACTTATCCCTGGCCCCAGTAAATGCTGAGCTTCTTTGCCAGTCACTCCAAAAGTAAAGGTATCTTGTCTCATAACATGGTGTACCTAATGAAATGTCCAGTGAGCCTCATTTGGCCGGTCGGTCGAGTCCATTTCCTGCTGGGCTGAGAAACCTCGAGGGGGTAACCTTAATATCTTCGCCGCACGCGTGCACGCATCCGCCGCGCCGGGAAGCAGAAGAGTGAACAGAGATAAGCGTCGGCGTGACAGTGACGTGCACCCGCGCGCTTCTCGCCACTTGAGACGTTTATGAAAACTCGTCGGACGAGAGTTTTCCGATTAAAAGAAAAAAAAAAAAAAGAAGCTGTGACCACATCACTTTCCTCTGGACTCGTGTTAATGTGCCAGCTTCGTGAAAGGTCTGCGGAGCGAGTTGTCCCTCATTTTGTTGACAATGGCGCATTCGTGGGTGGATCACGATTTGAGACTTTGACTAAGTGCCACTCAGGCAAGTAGGAGCAAAATGGCTGGAGCCCCGGAGAGAGCTCTTTGGGAAAACGATGGCTTTATCTGCAGAGAGATGATGTCTTCGAATAAAGTTCTGGAGCAGTTCTAGCGTGCAGGAGGTCAGCGCGACCCGGCTCGGTTAATTCTGGCATCCTGCAGCTGCGTATTAACTCGGAGACATCTCCTGGAAGGAGCCTTATCAAACTTCATATGCAATCATGAGGTCACCCATGGGAAAGCAGTTCCAAACGTCAGACAGAGTGCTGCTCTCCATCATGCGGAAGCTACCGGCTAAATTGAACTCACTCAGATCCAGATTCCAGGCGTTAACGTGACTCAGGATAGAACCAAACCGAGCCCAAAAATTATAACCCACTGAATCCAGGATCCGTATCTTGAATCCGAAGTCTGTCTGCAATTTTGTCAAATCACCAGAGGGTCTCGTGGAAGCTGGGCCTTCATAATAAATCCAGATTGAAGCCGCCAGATTTTCCAGAGTCTGAATCTGGATCAGAATTATGGGTTCATCTGCAGTGTACACAGGATATCCTATTTTACTCCGACTGAGGTTGAGTAGCTTTGCCAAATGTAACCGAAATCCGTTGACATTTTTGACTGCCCAAAACATGATTTTGGGTTCCGAATCTGGATCGTGACCAAAATGGAACCGGCTTCTCTTTGGGTCAAACTGAACACGGGTTCAACATCCCAACACTGAAAGAGTTATGACAGTGAAGATTCACATTATACAACAAATTCAAGGTCGAGATACGGATCTGGATCATTTAGATCCTCCGGCGCCGGTTTTGGATCTTGATCCCCATCAAAAAGAATGAATCCAACCTTCGGGCCATAACAAGTAACAGGCCAAATTTGATCGAGAACAATTTGACAGCGAAACAATCCCATTGCAGATTTGGAATCTCAAATCCGTTTCTTTGAAATAAGTTGCCGTACTACCGCTGTCCTACTTTCTCGTGCGCGCTCACGTCGGAAAACAATTGGCCAACATAAACGTAACTCACGAAAGAATGGGCCACACAATAGAACGCGCTAACCCGACCACCGCCCGCCTCGCACAGCCCGTCTGAGCCCATTGATCACTGGAACTGTGGGACGTGAGGCCCGCAGCTTCAGAACTAGGTTAACCTCCCCCGACTCTCCCACATTCACACCCCCCTCCCCTCACCCACAACTCCCTCCGCTCCCCTCCGGAACCCGTCTGAGCCTCCCACCCCCTTCGGGCGACACAGCTAGGCGAAGACATGCTGGCCTGGTTACCAACTGGGCTGCATCGCGGCGTCAAACAAATCGCGTCTGACACGAGAACTTCTCTGGAAGACCGACACATCGTAGATACGCTCATTTTGTTGTTTCTTTGAAAGGTTATTTTTTTCAGCGCGAGAGTAAAACAATAAAACCACATTTGAAAATAGACAAGGAAACAGAGTCACCAGAAACTGTCCTTCAATCTCACCGCACAGAATGAAAATGTGTTTTTGTTGAACCAGATTCCACTTCTTTTAAAGGAGCCGCTTTCCACTGCCAAACAATTGTTGAATATTTGGTATCTGTACGCAAACGACGCCATGATCCAAATTATTGCGTTAATGATTTTCGTAAATAGTCAATGCCAGGGCCACTATCCTGCATGATTTCGACATGTCCCCCCTGAACAGGTCAAGTTACATTTGAAGATAGTGCAAGGATGAAACAGGACAGTTTAAGTCCCACGAGAAGGGAGAAGATGAACATCAAAAGAACAACAGCAATCTCTGGCTGCTAAAAATAGCGTCAAGCTCCTTTTGTCGATAAGCGGGCGTGTTTGCTTCTATTTTTGGCAGACGTATTGTGGGAAGATAAACAATCGCTGCAAATGCTTCTACTTCGCAGAAATAATAGACGCACGATGTGGACACGTTTCCGGGAGATACATAAGACACACAGCAGCAGCTTAGCAAAAATCAAGAGTTTCACATCCCGGTCACAATCTCGCAATAGGATGAGAAACATTGCGCAATTTATGCTTCAAAACGAAGAAAGGTTCTCAGAGTGCTCCAGAATCGCCGTCTCTGAAAGTCTTAAGAAATCTGGTTACGTGAATTTGGTGGCAAAAATACTCACACTTGATACTTCAAGGGGAAGTCAGGTCAACTATTTACTTTACTACTACTTTTACTTTACAATATGTTCCATGGGCCCCTGTTAGG